GCTGGACTCAAACTCCTGAGCTCAGGCAATCTGCCTGCCTCAGCCTCCCGAAGTGCTAGGATTACAGACATTAGCCACCTTAAAAACTGTACTTTAGCATCTCCAATGCTTATAACTATTGTTCATGCCTAGCACAGAGGTTTGCACATTGTAGATGCCCAATAAAAAATATTTTTCACCTATTTTATATCAGGATGATTATTCCATACATATTCCAATTAGTTTTACACACAAGTATCAATTTGCCCTAGGAAACAGTTGAAGTTGAAACACTGGAATTTTAAATGTTTATTAATATTCTGCCTACTTCAAAGAAACATTAAGAGGAATAAAAGGTATATAACATTCACTGTGGAATTCTTAGCCAGTTGCCACCTGCGGCAGTAGGTCCTTGAACAATTTCAATTTGGCCAGAGAAGGAGATTCCAAACATGCAAGACTTGTAGTATAAGCATAGCTCCTATGCCTTTCCTTTTATACTCTGTACTTGCCTCACTGTCTCATGCAGGAGAACAGGAATCATTTCATCTCAGCAGTGCAACTTGTTTCTATGGTGTGTGTTTCTATCACTATTCATCAGCCTATGTCACTCATTTGTCCATCCATCCATCCATCCATCCATCCATCCATCCATCCACCCATCCAAACAGCATTAGATGTCATTTATCACTAGATGCTTGGGTACTGATACTAGAAAGAAGGAGATGGAAAGATAATCATAGATTCTTCCTGTTTTCTTGGTTCATATTATTCAGTAATCACATGTAGGCATTCAAGATAATTGCTTTAGAATTGGTAAAACTCATTCCGAAAAGGACTGTGCTGCAGTATGTAGTTTGCCAGTTAAGCATTCTTTAACTAGAAAATCTTTTTGCCCCTTCCTTTCCCTTCCCTTCCCTTCCCTCCCTTCCTTTTGACCTTCCTCCCTTCCTCCTCTCCTTCCCTTCCTTCCCTTCCCTTCCCTTCCCTTCCTCTCCTTCCCTTCCCTCCCCTCCCCTCCCTCCCTCCCTCACTTTCTCCCTCCCTCTCTCTTTCCTTGTTTCTCTCTTTGCCTTTGCTTTAGTTCTTCTTGAATAAAGTTTATGATTGGGTATAATTATAGTTTATTCAAACCTTTCCACAGGATATGAATTCTTAGTCATTCTACGGAGCTGTGATCCCTTGAAGAACCATCTGTGTTTATATGCTGCTCTAAGGTGATGGTTGTAGAAGGAATTGGCCTCTGCCTGCAGCTGGTCCCAAAGCATGGATGTTTTAGCAGGAGAACTTAGCATCTCCTGAATAAGAACTTAGTATTTCCTGACTCATCACTTAGGCTAAGGCACCAGCCTGGCTTCTCTCTGCTCTGATAAGCCAGGATCCACTTTGCAACCACAGCAGCAGTGGCTTGGCTCCCATGTGGGGCTTTGGCATGCTTTCAGTTGGACCTTTTCCTCCTGGATTAAGCCTTGAGCATCTCTATCATATTTAAGTAATCCTGGGTTTTCAGCGAACCACTAGAAACAGTGATCCTGGAGGAAAAAGCATGGCAGGGGCATGGAGGACCATGCAGAAAGGAGTTTCCTTTATACCATGACATCTTCAAAATAGGCTACTTGGATGAAATAATACACTTCTGAGTTTAGTCATATTCTTACCCCCAAAAGCTGTCATTTGCTTGACTGAGTACTTCTGTCTTATGCTCCTTCTCAGCTCTCCTAATACGTAACTTGGAGAGTGGTTAGACTTTTGCACGTTTGCTTTATTATCTATGAGGAAGACCCCAGTTCTGCCGCGTAGACCAAGGGACCTGAAGAAGATCTCTAAAATCTGAATTATGTGATCCTATTTAGCTTTTCCTCACCCTCAGGGAAATCCAGCACTCTTGCTCTCATTTGCTCCCTTTCTTATGGTGGAAAAATATTAAATTAGTAAAAGGCTTTACACGGTACTTCTACCCTGTCTTTTCTTTCTGGAATTCTTGAGTTGACCCACTTTGATTATGCGCTGCTGTCTGCTGGCCAGAAGGAGAGCAGCTTAGAACCCAAGCACGTCTTTACCTACTTCTGGATCTCAGTGTCCTCGTCTTTAAAATAAAGGGATTGAACCAATTTCTGAGGCCTCTGCCAGCTCTAACATAGTATGGTCCTGTGGTTTTCATGGAGCAGAAACTCATGATTTCAGATATAAAAATAAATTTGTGGTGAGGTGGCGAAGGGAGGGGAGTGTTTTCTAGGAGCTGTAGTCAAAATGCAGTGGTTATCATCAGATATCAGAAGTCTTCTGTCACTGGCTGAATTGTGTCCAAATTCACATGTTGAAGTCCTAATTCCCAGTACATTAAAATATGACTGTATTTGGAGACAGAGTCTTTACAGAGATAATTAAGTTAAAATGAGGTCAGTGGGGTAGGCCCTAATCCAATCTGGCTGGTGTCCTTTTACACAGAGGATGTTCAGACACAGAGATATATGTGGAGGGAAGATAAAGTAAAGACACAGGGGGAGAAGAAGGAGGTCACCTACAAGCCAAGGGAAGGAACACATGACAGAGCCTTCTCTAAGGCCCTTACAAGGGCTGAAACGTTGATTTGGGACTTTCAACTCCCAGAACTATGAAAAATTTCAATTTCTGTGGTTTAAACTACCCAGTCTATAGTACTGTGTTATGACAGCCCTAGCAACCTTATACATCTTTTGTATCTGATTCCAAAGTGTAAAAAAGATGAAGAAAAGTGCAGTGGCCTCTTCTCAAAAGTTACCTCACAGTCCTCACAGGGTTTTAGGCAATATTGGATACCCTTTGGCCTAAACCCTGGACTTGACTAAGAAATGCAGCCTCCAATAACATTGCAGGAAAAGGGAATCTGGGAATTTCTATGACACAATTCAGTCTTGCTAAGAATTTCAAGCTAATATTTAACTCTGGACATATATTGACATGGGCAGTTCTTCCATAACAGATTCATACAAAATTTTAAAATGCATATAGAAGCCTTAATTTTTTTTTAAATTCTTTAATTCTGTTTTAGAGGCAAAGAATAGGGTGTCTTTTTTGCCTATTTTATAATTTTTATTCTTTTTTTTAATATTTGCCACTGTCTTTCCTTGGGCTTTCTAGGGCATTACATTTTTCTTTTCCGTTTTCTCCGTGTTTCTTAGCCACATTCTCTAACAGGTTACTTCTGTTTCCATCACATCATTATCCAGCCCCAGCAGGCCTACTTTTCTTCATTTACTCTATTGCATTTTCTGCTTTTCTTTCTTGCTGTCTGCTCCTCTCTCATCATCCTTGCCTCTGTCTGCTTAGTCCTCCTGTCCTTCATTTTTCTTTTTTGCCTCTGCATTCAGCATTTCTACTTCCAATCTCCCTCCTCTGCTCTTCCTTTTATCCTCTGATTTGCAGACTTGCTTCTGTGCCCTCCTTCTGTTCCCCTCCTGGGTGTGTCTTTGGCTCACCTTTCCTTCTCCTCTGAGACTTCGTGTTCTTGTTGGTAGATGGGGGCTGATACTGTAAATATCACAAAATAATTGCACTGAGAACAAGTGGTTCCCACTGTGTCCCTGGTGAAAGACCCTTTGAATGAGCTCAGAATGTCCAGTCTCCGTATGATGCAGGAGACAGCACTGGCACTGGAGAGGGGTCTAGACCTCAGCCACAAGACTTAGCATTCCAGAACTTTGGGGCTCATCTCTTGACACCTACTCCCTCTGCAGTTAGAAACCAAGAGGCACTGGGTCGCCTGGGAAGAGAAAGAATAAACCTGCCTTCGCCCCAGCAAGCACACTTTCCTGCCACATTCATCTAAAAGTCTTTTCTGAGATCCTTGCCTCCTGAGTGATCAGTGGCTTCTGTGTTCTCAGTGTGTTGCAGCTTGCTTGGTCCCCTTCCATCCTGCAGAGGGGCTCCTTGGGGTCACATTTCTAATAAGCTACTATGGTCCTCTTCCAGCCTCAGCTGAGGTTTAGGACCAAGAAGCAGAAAGGTGTCATTGTGAGCTTCTTGATCTCTCATCTTGTGCTTTTGTACAATATTATTTGTTCTAGCTTCAAAGATTAAAACCACATGTTGGTCTTCTTTTTTTCAACAGAGTCCCCAAGAAAACTTAAATGAGGGCTAATCTTTCCCTTACTCTACTTCCTTGCTCTTTTTCCTCCTTTACCTTCTCTTCAGTTCTTATTCTTTCTACTTAATGGATAAATTTTAGTTAATCCATTATATTCATTTGTTCATTCATTCACTCATTCAACAAAAATTGATCAAGTGACTCAATGTGCATCAGATGTTTCATGTACTTCTGATGGCATAGATGGTACCTCTGAGGTTTGTTTACAGTCTAGCTCTTAGAAAATAATGCCTGCAGATTTTGATCATTACAAACTTCTAGGCATTCTTATGGCCAAACAGAAATTTCTATTTTTAATGTTTCTTGTTTAATTATGTTTGCTACTGAATGTGAATTTTGAGTAATTCCCATTAGCCCTTTTTTTTTATTTGCAAGATTACAGAACTTGAAAGGTTACAAGCTTTATTATTAAGTAAAATTATGACAGACATTAACAATGGTCCAACAATTACTTTATGCAGGCATTTGAAAAGCATCTCAAAGTATATGCATTAACTGCTGAACTCCGACAACAGGCTGGTGTGGTAGATATTATTATTATCCCAATGTTACTGATGAAGCTGAGGCTTGGATACGTTACATTACTTGGCAAGGGCTCTCAGCTGGTGTGTGGGGAAGCCAGGACTTCACTTTTGTCTGATACCAAAGCCCATGTTTGTTTAGCCACTGTATTGTAACATCTTCCAATCTTCACATCATCCATAGCCATGGAAGGGGAAATTTGCAATGCAGAGTGACCAAAGAGATGGGGATGAAATCCATCCCTTTGGTGTGAATGGAGCTTTTTTTGACCTGTAAGCCAGGGGTCTATGGGGCAGAATTACTGTTTTGCCCACTCACATGCACAAAAGAGAGACCACTTGAGGATGGTTAGATCCCACCAAGGTGGGCTTACCTTCTGGGTCTTGGGCATGTCAGTGTGGCGCTGGGCACGGGCAGAGCGGGCTGACTTGACAGGCTTGAGGGGTGCGCAGTACATCTCCAGTCTCCTCAGATCACAGCTCCGGAAGCAGCACTCATTCACAATGCCTGTCTGAGGCACCCTCCGACTGCTGGAGCCATACCCAGTGGGCTTGTCTGGACAAATCAAACAGAGAGGCCTCATGTTAGGGTGGAACCTGCTTTCTTCAGTCTTCCACCCAGCTCTTGCCTCTCCCCACATCTAATTAACCTATGTATTCTGCAATGTTTCAACCTCTTCTTGAAACTTCCCCAAAGATTCCTGACCTCATGGATCTTTCTGGATTCCAGTATGTCTCCTGGATTCTGTACCACACTCAGCACTAACTCATTCACCACACTATTTGTGGTAATTCTCCCCAAGCTTTGCAACCTGTAGGCAGGGATCTTGTCTATGCCCAATCCTAGTCTTTTCTTTTTCTTTTTTTTTTTTTTTTTTGTGACGGGGTTTTGCTCTTGTTACCCAGGCTGGAGTGCAATGGCGCGATCTCGGCTCACCGCAATCTCTGCCTCCTGGGTTCAGGCAATTCTCCTGCCTCAGCCTCCTGAGTAGCTGGGACTACAGGCACGTGCCACCATGCCCAGCTAATTTTTTGTAGTTTTAGTAGAGACGGGGTTTCACCATGTTGACCAGGATGGTCTCGATCTCTTGACCTCATGATCCACCCTCCTTGGCCTCCCAAAGTAGTATTTTCTTATATATTGGCTTCAGAGGATGATAGAAATATTAAAAGAAGATCATGCATTATTTTCTTAATCTTGCTGGCAATTCCACATTGTTTTTATAAGCAGAACAGCTCAAATGTTTGCCTTTTTGTGTAACTGCCCTGAGTGTATAGTCAGGTTGAACACCAAAGAGGTTTTAAGTTTGGAAAGGGATCCTCATTTTACTAATGTGAAAACTGAGACTCAGAGGTGGCAAAGACTTGCTCAAGGTCATTCGTGCAGCAAATCGCGGAATCAAGATGCAAACTCAGATCTGCTTGCTGCAAAGCCCAAGTGCCTCATGGAGCCCAGAGGAGCTGTTGTATGACTCTGGACAAGTCACTAAGCTCTCTGGGCCTCAGTTTGCCCATTTATATAATGGAGTTAATAATATCATCCTTGTAGGAATTGTTTGAGGATTAAATGAAATCATGTATGAATAATACATAGCATAGAACCTATCATATAGTGGAGGTCCTAAATAAATCATAGCCAGCTTTCTCCAAGTACCGTTTCCAGGGTCCTATGTGAACTATGGAGAAGCAGTGTCACTATTGACCGTGTGCAGAAGTCTTGGGACTTAAAATTAATTACAATACCAATCTAATAGGGCTCCCTCTCTTATCACCCCAAGAGACCAGAACAACGAATTCTGTTTCTTATAGAGTAACTACCAAACTGAAACAATGAACAAAATGTCCATCTTTCATGTGATTCTGTTCTAGCTCAGGCAAGGGCAGAGGGACAGAACCTTGCTTTCTCTTCTCTTCCCTCATCTCTCTTCATCTTCTCCACTGATGCTCAGGCTTTATGGAAGAAAATTTATAAATTATGGGCACATAAATATAAATTCTTTATAATTTATAAATTATAAAGAATCCAGTTAATCAATCTGACATTTATTCAATCTTAATTCCTGACAAAAGAAAACATTACGTTTTAAATCACAAGTCTATGTTTGTGTAATAATGACACCATTACATGAGGATAGGATTTTGAAAGTCAGAAACCTCACGTATTTTGCACTCCCTCATTGGGAGAGATCAGGCCCATGGTAATGGCCTGCTGCCAAACTAGCTTGGCTGCCTCCCTGCTGGAAGGGCCAGGATTCATGGCATCCTCTAAGAACCCAAATGCTTTCCTGATGCTTGGCACAGGACCCTAGTGACTGCTTCCTCCCGTAAGGCAGGTTTATTGTCATTCTTAGGACAGCTGGAGGTAGTAACTCAGTGAGGGTTCATTTGTGGTCTTTCTGGGCGGGGTCTGTTGCTCAGCTCTCAGAGCAGACTCTGTGGGCTCCTGATGGCTGTGGGGTTTGGGAGGGACAGGGCCCTGGCCAGCCGTGCCCCAGCTGGTCCCCTGAGCAATGTAAACAATGTTTTTTTTTTTTTTTTTTTTAATAATCTTTTCCTGGAACTATAAATTAGAGGAAAGACACAAATGGGCTTACATGGTCGTTTGTAATCCACAAAGGACTTCTGCATACTTTTTGCTAAGTGGCTAGCCAGTAAAGCACAGCTGATACCCTTTTGCTTCTCTCTTGGGGGTGGGAAGGAAGGAAAAGGTAACTTGGCCTATTTTGTGGTCATTGTAACTTTTGTCCATTAAATGTAATGATTGTTCTTTGTTGAAACTATAAATTTCTTAATGAGATGTAATTGGGATTCATTTGTTGATTATGAAATAGTAACCTGATGTTTCGGGGTGGGCTGGTAGGAGGAGCTCAGAAACTTTCAAAGTTAGCCAACCCAGAAACAACTGATTTCAGAATTCATGCTTAGGGTTTGAAGACAGACAAGGGCAGGCTTTGGGATTCCAGGACCTATCTAGTATTTCCCTTTCAAGCTTCTCTAACTTAATTCTGCTGGAGCCCTTTGCCTGATACAGCGGGAAGACACCATCCTTCATCTTGGGATATCTTGGGATGGCAGAGATCGTTTCTAAGATTGCAGAGTCTCTTTTTGGTGACTACAAACAACCACAAAACTCACCACATATCTATTTCCTCTTGTAAAATAGAAAGTCATCATCATCACAGCAAAAAATAACAGGACATTCTGGGCATCTGGCTTATCACCTTGCTTAAATGAGCTCAGAGTTTAACATGGCCCAGTCAAACTCTAAGCTTATCTAAACTCTGAGCTCATTCTTTTTAGTCTATAGATGGATGAATTTAGGTACAGAGAATTTTAAGACTTTTCTGCAATGTTCCATAGAGAAAGCTATCTCATGTCTACATTTGTTAAAATATTGTTGAAATAGTGGCATACAGACTTAAATTTTGCTGTAAATATAATTGCCAATTATCTCTAGTTACCACAATCCAGACAGATGTTTTTCTTTGTCTACTCATAATGTCTACAATGAACTCATTGTACGTCATTGGAAATACATGAATATAATAGGTGTTTACCTATTGCCTTTTGAAGTTTAATTCATCTTTTGAAGTGCCCTATAAGCTTGATTTTTTTCTGGCTCTACATCAAAATATTTAACAAACAAAAATCTAATTTCTCACCAATTGAAAGATCAGTTGAGGGTCAAAGTTTTGTTCCATATCTTCAAATGCTATATATTGTTTATTTTTCCAGAACTACAGTAAAGGTATTTGCTGCTGTGGTCTACAACTAGAAGTCTGATACAAAGTAATTTATCAGAAAGGTAATAAAACAATTTGCTTCAGTATTTCATATTTTTCTATTTGAGATAGTTATTTTTTAATGACTTGTAAATTATAACTAAAGTCATTTCAATTAACATTTAAATGAGATGGAGCTAATTGTTCTATTATTGCCTTGAGAAACTCTTCATTAGGAGCTATATAATTCTGCTCCACTGGGCAGAATCAGAGCTGGTAGGTGAATGAGAAGCCAATATTGGCTTAATATAAGAAAGGATTCCTAACAATTTGAATTTACAAGTGTTAGATATGGGATAGATTTCACTGAAAAGTAATGAACTCCTCATTGCAGGAAACAGTTAAGTAAAGGCTGTAATAAACATCTGTCAGAGATCCTAGCAGAAGATCCCTTTGTTGAACACAGTGGATAACTGCTATGGTCTTTTCTATTCCAAACATTCTATAACAAGTGAAGAGATGAAAAAGAAAACTGGGTTGGGCCCAATATTCAGTATGGTTGGAAACTATTTCAAGAAAGAGGTTCAAATATATTCTAACTTAGAAGGTGAAAATTTGTTTTCTATCTATTTGAAGTTGCCCGAGATGCTCAAAACACTGTTCTTACTCAATGGTACAAAAAAAAAAAAAAAAAAAAAAAAGACAGGTGCCTGGTATAGTCCCTTCTATAGCAAGATGTGGTTCAAGAGTTCTGTTGTACTGGCACGATGAAACATTCATGCACTTACTCAACTGTTAGAATGAATAGGCATGTATAACATTCCATTGAATATTTCTTGCTGACAGTCTTGACATTGAAAATTTATATATTTATACATTTATTTTGTCAGTTTTGCTTCAAATGTTTCATAGCATTGTAGACCGAAGATTGCTTACCAGACAAGTTGGTCACCACCTAACCTAGACTTTGACTCCTCCATGAGTAGACATAATGTTTAGTCACAATGTACTGCTGTATCTTAAAAGTTGGCCAACAGACAGAATTCCAATGGTTAAACAGCTGGCTTCTATAACAACAGCACTTCCCTTTAAATAATGCATGATCAGGGGAGTAATTCAATAATCTTTAGGGCAAACTTGCTAGTTATAAGGGTTTTGGGAAGAACTGTGGCATCATCAAAACCACACCAATTAGCTGAGTCTCATGTTTTGTCATGGTTGCAAGCGACTCACTCCCCTCCATCTCTGAAGGGAAATGTGTAATGCTAAGATTTAACTGGGGTCATCACTTCTAGAACAAAGGACTCTGATCATTCGTCACTGGTAAAAATGGTATTACCTCTACTGATGCTGTATAAGTTTGTGTTTCTTATAGATTTCTGGAAAGCATTTGGGACAATGTATTTGCTTTTAATTTCCTTTGAAATTTCTCATCTTGCTTATTGAGAAAGTTTTGTTTTAACTATTTCAACTCTATCATTGGAAAGGGAAGACATTAATTTGAAGAGTCAATATTTAATAAAAAATGCAAACTTTTCCAAGTTGGGATACACCTAGTTCTTAAGATATACATTTGCTATTCTTTGTGTTCTAAGGAATAAAACTATTCTTTAGAAATTTGCTAACAGGAAGAGGTTCCAAAGTTGATGACTTGTTTTTGGAAAGGAAGAAAAAAGAGGTAAGACAATTTAACTTGGATTTTAAGGTCTATTTCTAGGAAATGCTCAATTATGTGTCTGATAAAACATACAAATGAAATTATTAGCTAATAAAAAACAAATCTGCATTTCACTTAGATTAACTAAGGATTGATTATATAACCAAATATTACAGT